TTTAGAATAAAATTCTAAAAAACAAGACTAGCACAAAAATGAAATGAGGAACGCAGAAAGCAATAATGGGATCATGAAGACCTTTAGAGACCCTCATAAAACATGACATAACACCAACGAAACCACAACGCAACAACTGCATTTCAAGCAGCACGAATACAGCAAACGAATGAAACAAGAAGCCAATTGTAAAAAACTCGAGCTTCTGACTTTCAACCTAAGATAACTTAATTATTATGTAAAAATAATTTATTATTCATCTTTTAAATTATAAAACAACACAAAAAAACATAAAAATCATAAAAGATAGACCGAATCATGATATGTACTGGTACTTTTTGCAGCAAATTATTAATGTTTATTTCAGCATTTTCACCAAAATATTGATCAAACGACATTCGTACATAAAAATGTATAAAAAATATAAAAATAATTTTTATTCGAAAGCCTGAAAGACATAAAAATTTATGAGGAGCGTGAATATTTGAAAGCAAAAGCATCGCGTGCACTTGCAAATTATCTGAAGTTGCCAATAAAGGATCAAAATTTCATCGCTGTTATATTATTCGCTTTTGTCATCAGCATCCATTTTTCTCATTTATAAGGCTTTCATTTTTGGAAGTAATCTATCTTTTAATACTTTTCATTTTTAGATGTAAAATCTCTTATTTTAATATTCATTTTATTTTCATTTTAGCAAATTTAAACGTTTTTTTATTCACATCTCGAACGATTTCCACTACATCATCATTATTTTTTATTATCTACGTCGTCATATTTTTAACTATACCAGCTTTTTTTATAATGATAAGTCGTTTATCACCATAATCATTCCACCATTCCACTAATCACCAAAGCAAAACGTCATTGTTACTATAATTCCAGCATCATTTATTTATTATCATATCTTTCAACCACAGGGGTGGGCAAACTTTTTGATGTGAGGGCCGCATCGAGAACTATTTTACTTTTAAAGAGCCACATATGTACTTAAATAGCAAATTTTTTCGACCCGGGAAAAATTTTTTTTTAATTTTGTGGCTTCTTTTTTTGGTTATAATGTCTGGTTGACGACCTTTTTTGGCGAACAAGGCGTCGCGGGCCGCAGAAAATAGGTTCGCCCGCGGGGCCATAGTTTGCCCACCCCTGTTCTACCATCATCCAACATCGCCGTTTTAAATAACTATAGCTTGCTGATACGAAAGAAATTTGAGATTAATTGATATTATTTATAACTTTAATTTCAAAAAATAATCATACAAAATCACGCTATGCATTAAGCAATTATTATCTGTGAGCATACATTACCAATGCTTTTAAAAAATTCGGCCACAAACTACATTATTAATAATAAATATTAATAATATTACTTATTAATATCACCATATAATCATAATAAGAGTGAATTGTCAATATAATAATTTTAAATATATAAAGAATAGTAACAAAAATATTATTGTTATTATAATAGCGCGCGGTTTAATTAAAATATAAATGCAATAAAAAGATCAACTCAATATTTTTCAGTCATTCAAATGAAAGATTCCGGGAAAACAGTTCAAAATAACATTTGAATATTTCATCACTGAATATATAAATAAGAAAGAACAACTTAAAAGAACTGGAAAGACAACGTGGGAAGAGCAAATAAAATAGACACAAGTTTCATTGTCCCTATTTAATTATTCATAAAGTTAATGTTAAGTGTGTTTGTTTGAAGATAGCACTTCATTTTGTTGTATCTGTGAGACTTGAAGCATTCCTTTGCATGAACCATTTTCTTTCATTTTTTATTGTAAATAAATCTGTTGAACAAATGAAAATAAATTGTTCATGCTTATATTGCTTCAATCATGTCTTACAGATACAACAAAATAAAATGTCATCTTCAAACAAACACAATTAGTGTTAACTTTATGAAAATTTAAATAGGGACAATTTTCCATTTATTGTGAATAGTTTTTAATTTTAAAAGTTTGAAATAAGAATGTTTGTTGTTCGTTAGTCACTAATTCACTAAGGGTAAGGATTCATCATGGTTTCACTTCATGCTACAAAATTTTTTACTTTACTTTATTCTCAAATATTCTCATTGATCTAAAAAAATAATTTGGATTTATCTAAATTGAGTTATAGAAAATAACATTTCATTCAAACTATATCCAAACCTTTTTTTGGAAACTTTCAAAATTAAAAATCATAACTTTGGTTTATGCTTTTTAAATATTTTTATGAATTTAATTTAAATTCAGTTGAAATAAATTACAGACACAGGCAGAAACACACACATATAACATCAATATATACTTGTCCATATACTTAAATAGTCTCGATATAAATATAAAATATAAAAATGCAATAAACAAAGCCAATAAATACACAAGCGAATGAGTGTTTCCATAAAACAAAAAACACACAAAAAAAATAATTCGGTGGTAAAAACTCAACCATCAATAACAATACCTACCACTCAAACAAAACACACACAACAAACGCATTTCACTCTCAAACTAAACAGCTCCTATAAAAGATTCATTGTTTCTACAATTGTTCAACATTCATATTAGCAAGTTACAAATCTACACAAAATATGTGCATATTTTCACCAAAAGTTGTCAAAAACAATATTTAAGGACGACATATAATCTAATATATACCAATCATACCAAAGAACTTTTCACTAAGTCTAAAATTTCATCAATTCATCAAATTAATTTATATCTTCAAACCATATTTAAATTTATCTAAAACCTTTTGTCTCCATATTTATTAGCATTCCTCAAATATTCAAATCCAATTGAATCAGTTGTCACTAGAAAAAAATAATACTTTTCACATTAAAACATCTAGATCAAACTTATTCGATAGTCAATCTCATAATGCACGTGAAATCTGGAACAACATAATTTCTCGTTACATTAAAATCTAATAATGTTCAAAAAAATCTTTAAAATTTCCCCAAGTACCTACAAACACCAACAGGGCACTTTTATTTGTATGCTGACTGTTTAAGCTTTGTTAATTGCTCGCTTGATTGAATGTCTCTTTTCGTTTCTGTTTGATTTTGTATTTTTCGAAATCTACCACCATTATTCGTAATTATGTGTATGTCTGTGTGTGTGTGTGTGTGTGTGTCATGTGTCTGCGTGTATGTATAAGAAAACGTTTGTCATCATAGTCTACATCATATAAACGTTGTGAGACAAAATTTTAGTCAAGGCACTGTCCCAAGTAATTTTCATTTACTTTTTAGCGTGTCTTTAACAGAAAATAAAATATTAAACCCATAAAAATTTTTATTACATCCATTTGTCCAAAGCATAAACATAAAATCTACACGAATACAAACAATACGCAAAAGAATGTATGCATGCATACCAACACATGTGATACATAATTAATAGAGATGCAAGCAATTTATGCAAACTCACATAAATCATAGTCACGCACAAACACACAAGTTCAATAAAGAGAAGCCTGCGAACATTAGGATCAATGAAACGCACTCCATCGATCCAGCTTCTGAATGGCGTGGCCTACCTTAGTTCAGCTACTTTCTATGTCTTATTTTAGAATTTTATGAGGTTGTCATTCTCTTACTCATTGTCCTTCTCTACATCGTCGTTAACCTCATCGTTCGTCAACGTCGTCGTCTGCGTTAGCGTCTTAGCCGTCAGTGTGTCGCCTGTTATATTGATTAGGTTTTCATTTTCAATATGGTAATCAAAAATGTGGCCGCTAATAAAATGTCATTATTGTCATGATGGTAGTAGATTTTGCAGTTCTGAAATGCGCTTTTTGATGTAGGCGCTGACGTAAAAATTGTTACCAAATAAATATCAAAAGAGGTTCATACTTTGGAAGAACAAAAAGAAAATTTTATAATTGAACTAACATAAATGTTTATAGGATATAATTTGAAAAAAACACTATCTCATCATATGCAACGTGTTTATGTTTGTTTATGTTTACTTAGAAAGAGGAGGCTAACGCCCTCCGATATTCTGGAAGACGACTCACCTTAATAGCCATCCGCTTATTATAAACTGACGCACCCAAAAATGCGCACAATTTCATTCCAGATGATTGATCCGGAAAAATTATTTTCATCTTTTTTTACAAAAAAATTGTTTTTGATCTCAGCGATAAGATGGCTGCAGTATATATAATGTAGGTTATTTCATATAGATTTCTGAAAATGTTGTTGATGCGGTATAATGCAGCAGCAAATTATTGTATGCTAAGGAGTAAGGACGTTTTTTTGTTATGTATCAGTCAGTCAGTAATCTTGAAACCAAACTATTAACGCTGATTTTGTTTATAGTTGATCCTCTACTGCTACTCATTTTTTTTTATTTTACAGATACTTCTAATTTACAGATTTTTATGCTATTATATTCAAACAATTTTATAGCTTTGCTCCTGTTTGAATGAAATTTTCGTAATAAAATAAATCATTCACTAGATAATATGAAAAATAATAAAAAAGTTCTTTTTAAACGAATGCTAGAAAAATGCTCCTTAGCCCATAAAAATTTCACAAGATGGCAGTTATTTGGCAGAACTGTACGCATCTTAAAATAATAATTGGCAGGAGAAAAATGTTGCAACCGAAATGATAATATGCTTGTGCAGTTGTGAACCCATTCAGAAAAAGTATAGGCGAACTTGCTGACCATGTTGTTGCCTTTCCTTTAAACTATCATTTTTTTATTGTTAATGGTTGCATGTTACATTCGATTGATACGGAGGAATTATTTTCATCTACTTTTACAGGAAATTTTTTTTGACCTCAGTAAATATTGTGATGTTATATATTGCATGTTATTCTCTACAGAGTGTTAGAATGTTTACATCGCACGATTTTAAAGAAAGTAAAAAATTTATTCACCCTAACATTAAAAAAAACTGTGATTGTTATTAAATGAACATTCAAACATGGGAAACAACACATATCCTAAAAATTTAATAAACAGATTTTTCAATAATAAATATCAAACCTTGCAAGTATCTGACAAGTTTGCAGACGACATAGCCAAAAATGAAGTCTTGCATCAGTGTTGGAATGAGTGTGAATGGCATACAAAAGACAGCCAACAGCATGTCACTTATACTTAAATTCAACAAGAAAATATTCGTAATGGTTCGCATATTTCGGTTATTGGCCAGTGTCATCACCACCAGGGCGTTGCCGATGACAGCCAGAAGGAAGATGATGATGTACGATGGTATGGTCAGCTGTGGAAGCAAGTGTTTTGATTGTTGTGGCTGCTGATGTGGCCGACGTGACGTACCACTGACGCTTGAGTTGTTGCTGATGCTATTGTTGTGATGTTGGAATATGGAATCGTTGGATAAAAAATCTTGTTGTAGTTGTTGTTTTTGTTGGTGGTGGTGATGTTGGTGTTGACGGAAGTATTCATTTGATGGTAGTAGAAAAGGCAGACCATCATCATCGTCGTCGTCGTCGTTGTCATCTTCTTCGTACATGTTGCTGTTGTTGTTACTACTGTGGCTATTGTCGCTATTTATGCTACTACTTGCTGTTGTTGTTGATGTGTGGATATAATTGTTTCTGTCGGCGTAATTGTTGGCGAAATAATTTTCGCTATCACCTCTCACCGCATCGACGTTGTAGCTTCCATCAGAAGAGATCTTATCTGCACGACTCCTGAGTTTGATGGGTGTCTGTAAATCAAATGCTGCCGAGATGGCGCTAGTAACAATAATTGGAGTTAGACGGGTATTTCTGAAAGATGTAGCAGCAGCAGGAATGGCTGTTGTAGTATCGGTAGTAGCGACAACGGCAGCTTTAGTGGTTGTAGTAGCGGAAAATCTATTATTATCAACCAATTCACTTGTTTTACTTGTTATAGGAAGGATATATTGTTCATCAGTAGTAGCAGCTGTCAAAATTATATTCAAAGTTACTGTTACACATGCTATCCAGAGAACAAACATGGTGTTGATGTTATTGGCTATTTTATTTCGATATGAAAAAAAAGCATTAGTTGGCTTTTATGTGTTTGAAAAAAAAATTTGAGTTCGCAAAACTTAAAACAAATTAATTATTTAACTGCAACATATCTAAAGACTTCAACTGCAGAATTAAATTAATTAAATCGATTAAATTAATTTTCTTATGATAGCATTGTTATTATTGCTATATAATTAGCAAACATTTTCCAAAACGTTCATTAAATAATTCATTTCGTTTTTTCTTCCAAATTTTTTCAAATTATTTTCATTATTATTGTTAATTGTTATTATTAGTAATTTTATTTTTCAATTATTATTATTACTACTTTGTAATTATTATTATTTATTATTATCTTTTATTGAAATTAACAATAAATATATATATATATATATATATATATATATATATTTATTTTATTATAACAATATATATATATATATATATATATATATATATATATATATATATATATATATATATATATATATATATCACATTCAAAATATGTCCAACATCTTTGAAAATACAGAAAAATGCCGCTACGTTCACAGTATTAATAATTGAAAGATCAACGGAGTATAAAGTTAATGATAATAATTTTTAAATTATGTTTATCTTTAAATTATTATTGAAAAAAATTATTTGATAATAAAACATTTTTTTAATTGATTAAAAATTTCAATTACGGATTTTTTTTATCTAACTTTCTTTCATTCACTCATTTTCGAACATAGTTTTTTTTCACCAAAAACACAGAAAATATATATTTTTACATTGCTTGCCATAAAGCTCATCATAACAAATTATTTTTCAAGAACAAAAACAAACGAAAAATCCTTTCAACGCAACCTATATAGCGTGATGAATAAATGAATGAATGAATGAAAACTAAATGAATGAATGAAAACTGAATGAATGAATGAATAAATGAATGAATGAATGAATGAACGAATGAATGAACAAACGAATGGATAGATGATTGTACGAATGAATGAACTAGTGTAACGAATGAATGAACGGATGAAAAAATTGGTATTAATTCTCTACACGTGTTCGTTCATATATCTGAGTCTGGGTACGTGCATGCAATCCTATGTATATGTGTAAATGTGTATATAGATAAACATATATATATTATATATTATATATATATATTTATATTATATATATATATATATATATATTTAAACATATATATTTGTGCGTGTGTGCGCGTGTGTGTACGTGTGTGTGTGTATGTGTGTGTGGTGTGATGTGTGTGTGTATATTATATAAATATTATACTGGAAGCCCACTTTTTTTGAAGCTCCTATTTGGCATTGATATTATTTTTGCTAATTAAATATTTTAAATGAAACAAAATCTGTGTGTGAAACTGCTGTCGCTTGTATGAGAAGAAATTGTCGCCTGTTACATGCTATGTGTGTGATGAGTTGATTCACATGTATCTATTTATGCACTGTTTGTTAAGTCGTAAAAAATGACTATAAAGAGTGCAGTTTTATAAACTCTCCTACAATGTTTTGAAGTAATATTAGGCTTAAATATAAAAATATGAACGTTTGTTTGAAAAAAAGGAGATGGAACAAACAGCAACATGAAACCAGAAAATGTTTAAACGCATTGAAATAATAACGTTATGATTGATATCAGGTCTGCGATTGTTTGAAATGTAAATACATTTTTTTGAGCACCATGTACATGAGCATGTAGTTGTAAACAAGGCATTCTGTATTATTACATTTTAGTCATTCGTTGAGTTTTTTGTATCATCCACCTCGTATTTATTTTATTTCAACCTGTAATGGCTCATTTAGTTGGAATTCTGCCAGATTTTTACCTGATAATCATATTTTTATCTCATTTATTATCTTTTTTAAATTCATCATTAAGATTTAGATTGAAGAATACGTTTGTATTTAGATTTTGCCATTATAAAAAACGTCGAATTTGGGCCAGCCAGCAAGTAGATAAAAATCTCGTTGTTTGATTTGGTGATCAAATATGACAGATGAATGAATAATCCATTCAGGTGGAATTAAATTTGTTGTACTCCTATAGCAGCAGCAACAACAATGACAATAGCAACAACAACAGCAACAACATCAACAACAATAGCATCAAAAGCAACGACAAAAGCAACAACAACAACAACAGTAGCAACAGCAAGGCCAATGTAAGAAATTACACGTCTAATAAGGACGTGTAATTGAAGATACATTAGTGATAACCAAATCAGCAATAAATTGTTGTAAACCAATATGTGTGTCTATATTGTGTATATATATATGTGTACGTCTGTTTGAGTGTGCGTGCGCGTGTGTGTGGGTTGTGTGTCTATTTTGTGTGTGTGTGTATGTGTGTGTGTGTGTGTGTGTGTGTGTGTGTGTGTGTGTGTGTGTGTGTGTGTGTGTGTGTGTGTGTGTGTGTGTGTGTGTGTGTGTGTGTGTGTGTGTGTGTGTGTGTGTGTGTTCTGAAACCGCCCAACCTATTATATTGAATTTGGTGTCAAATTATATATTTTTGAGGTCAGAGAATTTGATAATGTTATCGTAAAAAGTTTAAAACTTTCGCACGTGCAACTAAATCATTCAAACACTGCACAGGTAAGCACAATTTGGGATTTTCAAAGTTTTCATACTCGCAAATTTCTTTCCATATTTCATAATTGCACAATCATAAAATTTCAGTTCAATTTTAAAATTTGGTATATACATTTGTGTTAACTTGCGTATGAAATTTCAATTCTCGATACTATTTAGTAACAACTCAATGTTGAAATTTTCAATTTGTTATATTGTTATAAATACAAACGATATTTCAAAAATGACGTCCAAATGAGTTCGCTTCTCTATTTTTTACTTAAATATTTTTATTGTTTGAAAACGTTTTATTTCGTGTAAACTGAACGGTAATGGTCAACAAAAACTTAGCATTTCTTAAGGCTAGCATTACAGTTACAGACGCAATTGTAAAAGTACTCAACCTATATAATCTTGCATTCATTTAATACGTTTCAGTTTTTAATGAAAGTTCAAACCGATCATGCCATGTTTATGAAATTGGTCATTTTGTTTTTAATAAAACTAGAAAACATTTTAGAATTTCAATTAAATTTAAATTAATTTAATAAGTTAGTGATGGAATGTAATTCAACAAGGTTTTATGCCAGGCTTGGGACCAACTATGCAAGCTTATGAAGCCATAAAAACAGGCTATTACACTGAACGCAACTGTTTCGCAAATTTGCTAAAGGCATAATCATAAGTTGGAAACAAAAATAATTTTAGAGTTTTTAAATTTTATTTTATTTTTAAGATTTCATAAAGAAGCTTTTTTTTACATGGTCATCATCAAAGTAACCCCTTGGCTTTATCCTCTGGCTTAATTTTCCAAAGTTATTTAAAAAATTAAATTTAAACATTGAATTATCTACAAATAATTTTTGTGATTTCAAATTTAAAAAAAAAACTTATAATTTTTAGCAATATTTTAATTTTATTTATGATATAAAGAATTAAATTTATTTTCCAAAAGGGTTCCTAATTTATGAAACATATCTTTGCATGGAGTCACAATATTTAAATCAATTCAGTTTAGCCAATTAATTACCATAGCGAATTAAAGCTGCGTTTAAATTTATTCGAACGCTAGCCAAAATGCAATTAATTAGGTATGTCACAAAATTTCCCCTTTTTAACATCTTTTCAATTCTAAAAAATTTTATCTTAAAGAAATTTATTTTCAGCTGTTTTAAACAGAAAAGTGATTTTTCACATTAATTCATTAGTTTACTCACAAAAAAATAGTTCGTACCATATTTATATTGTATGAGAATTTTTACAGCGCCTATTACACAAGTGGTTGTGTTCTTATAGGCGCGATTACAATTCTTTCTAAAAATCGCTACATTTGTTATTTGCGACGGCCATTCGTTAATGATGATTGACTTGATATGACGATGTGACGTTACTCTTGCGACTGCAGGCTGATATTGCAGTCGTTGCGAACATTTTACGTAACATTAAACAATCAAAGCTAATTGATGCAGTTGCATTCATTGTAGTTGGATCAATTGTTGCAAGGCTGTCTATTCTGTTGTTGCTATGTTGTTCTAATCTGTTGTTGTAAAAATAAAATGAGATGAGATAAATGATAAATAGATGAGATAAAATGTTAGTTGAGATATTGGCAAATGGGTGAATTTTGTCCTCAACATCTGAGGCACTGTTTTATCTTTCTATATCTTCATTTGTGTTTGTATATATTTTTTGTCTTTTTCTTTCTATAAAATGTCTCTTCTTGCACAAATAGAGATGCATCTTCGTTT